GCCCACAGGCTATCTTGAAGCTATTCTAAAAGTCTTACTCAATAAAGGGTTTAAAAAAGTGCTTCCCTGAATGGCTGCTAAAAAGAGATTTCCTATGCATACAAATAAACCTGAACCTTAAAGTAGTATGATTTTTATGAATAAAAAGAACATATTTAAAAGAACTTCTCCGAAAGCTTTTTTGAAGTACGTCATACAAAAATTCTTCTGGAAGCTCTTCTTTCGGTAGCACAAGCAGAAGCCCTTCAAATTGTGCCACTCCATACAAAAAAGAAAAGAGCAAGGAATGACTTTCAGAAAGCTATTTTGGAAGAGATTTTAGCTCCTGAAATTATCTGCTGGGTAGTATGTATGTATGACCGATCAGCCAAGTCCTGTCCAGGAACTTGCTCGAAGATAAAAAAGTAAGAGTTTAACCAAATGAACGAAAAAAACCTATCGTTATCTATTTTCGATTACTTATAATAGAAAACTAAACCATTTTTCACAGCAAATATGCCAACTTCACCAGGAAAATCTAAGTGTGAACCAGAACACCAGTACTATTTATTTGTCTAAAACCAGCACTTATACTGGAAAACCAAGACGTCTGACAGCCCTACTTCAAGCTTCGTAATTCAAAAAATAACTGCTGGATGCCTTCCTCGCCATATTCTTGTTGACAGCTGCGGCGAGTTCCATTATATAGGAGCCGTATTCTTGCCACATGCTTGTCTATCCGCAATGGTTGCTACAATTTGCTTAAATAGTTGCAAAAAAGTGGAAGTGTCGGCACTAAGACTGAAAGTAACAGTTTACACAACAATTTCTCTGGCCAACTACGCTACGCATTTTCTTTGGGACATTGTGGTCATATCGACTGCTTCGGCTTTAATATTATAGCCGGTTAGATTTGAAACAACAACTTAAGCATTCAAAACATTATCAAGCAAAGAGTTTTTATTCAGCTGCAACATTCGACGCTTTAAAGCTTTAACAGTCAATGGCCTACAAATTATGCATACACAAAGTCAAACAAAAACAATCGCAACAACAAACATGCACTCTTATATATGAACATTAGGGCGGTTTGATTTGTATGGATGAAAAAAAATTAAAAATCGTATAGCAAAAACGTAATCTACATTAAATTCTAAGAAAATTCTCTGAAGAAACCATGGGTCTAAAATCAAACCCTAATCCGCGCCTCTCGACTTGAAAATTTTTTTACTTGGGTGAATATTTTTTTTAATGAAAAAAAAATTCGAGTGTAGAAAAAATATAAAGGGCAAAAGAACTACTTTACAAAACAATTTTATTCAGAAAATTCGATTTCTTTCTGAAAAAACCTATTTTTTCTAACATTTATTTTTTTTGGCAAAGGCGGCCATATAAATTTTCAAGTCGAGAGGCGCGGATTAGGAGTTTATTTTAGATACATGGTTTCTTCGGGGAATTTTCTTAGAATTATATGTAGTTTACGTTTTTGCTATACGATTAAAAAAAAAAAAAATCAACCCGCCCTAATGTACATATTTACATGCTATCATGAATTGCAGTATGCAAACACTTGCATTTATAATGGGGAAAAGTGAAATATTGTTTGTCGTCTGTTTTGTTGGAGTTGAAGGACAGTCCATAAAAGTGGCAGTAAGAAACAAAATAAATGAGTACGGACTAGGAAAACTGTTTGCGATGGCCAAGGCAAGCGAAGCAACGACGACGGGACGAAGACTTGATAGAGAGTAAGAAGGACCGTTTTGTGACCAATGAATTATGTACTCGAGGGTGCTATAAATTTTACGCACATCGAGCGATAGGAGAGAGTGCATACTTACATACATGCATATGTATAAATCCATACATATTTACATACATACATGCATACCATGCGACACACAATACGCCAATATGTAAATATTTTGATTGCCAGCTATTGCTATTGTTTGTTGTTATTGTAATTTGTAAATTGTTGCATTCATTTATTATAATGCAATGCCAACGGGCGACGATAAACCAAAAGCAAAGCACAAAAAAAAAGTATCAAATTGCCATTTAACATATGTTCTGCTGTCTGTCCGCCAATCGATTTGTATGCCTAAGGGCCATTAACAATATTTTGTTAAACGACTGTCTGTCTGTCTGTCTGTCTATCAAAGCTGTTAGGGGGGGGCAAATGCATTTGTGTAAGCGCACGCACGTTAATGTAATGAATTGTGGACGCCAAGCTCGAATTGAGGTATTTATGGCATTGGCGAATTTTCGAAATGCTGCTGTAAATATTTACATAAGCTCTAAATATACTCTCAACTACATACTACATACATACACTTACGCTTACGCTTTTCGCGCACAACTGCTGCCGTTGTTGCGGTTGCATCGCAATTAATTGCAAAAATATTTTGTCGGTGCTGCATTGCGCAAGGCGTCGCCATGGCCGCCGCATTGCATTTATTTTGAGAGAATTTTCAAATTCGAATTTAAAGTAAAAAAAAAAATAACTCCTTTTTGTATAATAACAAACAAAGCATTTTGGCTTGCCTTTGCCTGCAAATTTGCACGGTGGCAATAAATTATGTTTTGTATGTGGCCACGCAAACACCGAAACAAGCAAACAAACTTACAAATTCCTTTTGTGCTGCTTTCAACACACAAGCACACAAAAATGCGTGGCACCCTCTCCATCGCCAAAAAAAAAGTCATCGGAAAATATGCAGATAATTCGCGGCGAAACGTTGTATTGTGGCAGGCAATTGTGGCATGTTGCAAACCAACTGGCACTCTGCATTGCACCCGCCCTCCTTTCTACCGCTGGACATTTGAATTATGCGCCTGTCGATACGCCAGACAGTAGAGTGTCACTAATAAATGGGCATATTCGAATATTTGAATATGAATATGTACGTACATACGTATGTATGCGTCTACGTGATAGCGGTGTTGATATCGACACCAACTGCCAATTTGCCCCTATCAGGCTACCTAATAGCCCGCCAAATGCTTGGCTGTGCCGTCGCGTAAGTTCAAATTGTACGATCCACAGCAAAAACGTGTGCAGGTACATATGTATGTATGTACGTATGCATTTATTATCGTGGCTTGTGTCCTTTCATTTGGCAATTGAGGTGCGTTTACGCCAAAGTTTTGCCGCAAGTGTTAATTATAATATTTGACAGCCGCAATAATTCAGTGGCCAATGTAGTAATACACGCACACACATTCGCATGCTCTTTTCCTCTTGTGTTACATGTCCTGGTTGCTTACCTTTTGGCTTGACAACACAGACACTTATCGACCTTTGTATATCATTACTTATGTACATACATATGTATGTATGAACGTCTACTGGCAGGTGATCCTCGGTTATTATCTTTAGGAATAGTAGATTTAACGGAACTTTTTGCCAAAATTGACAAATATAACTTTTGACCGGTTTTTCTGTAAAATCCTTCTCTCTAAAACTCCATGAGCCGCTTCATCGGATCTTGTCATTGTTCATTTCTCCGCGGCATACACCAGCACAAGTTTGATGAGCGATTTTTGTACGACATGAGAGGACTTTACTTTTTAAGTGACATGAGAGAAGAGACGTGTATGCTGTGGCTGTTTGTCTGATGGCAAGAGATATTTCGCTTTGTCCTCATTCTCAACAGACGATCCCACTTTGCTTCTCTAAGAAGGCATAACAGACGTAACCCTTGTTTTTACCGGTACTGTCGATGTCGTCGGCATGCGCCAGCAATTTTACGTCCTCGTAATAAAATGTATCTGTACGGTTGTTTTTTAATATCATTATCTTCTAAAAGAAGTCGCAAGGTGTGTAGGCAACTGGTGGAGTCAGCTGGGGTCATTGGATCGAATCCCACTGAAAGAAGTCTGATGAGGAAATGTGGTGATTTCCGAAATAGCTAACACTTCTGCCATTTTTTCAAAATTATTGTTGCTTTTGCACGATAGTTTTTCATTAAAAACGGCCACTAGCTCAATAAAAATTGTTGAATATATTTTCTCCAATATCAGATTAAAGATATCACTCGAAAGGAAGTCGCCCTGGCTGAAGCTTCTTTTGGTACCGAACGGCAACGTCATTTTACACTGCCGTATTTGGGATTCCCAATTCAGTTATAGTGGTGGATAAGCAACGTTTTTTTCGTGTAATCGAAAGCGAAATTCTTCAAAATTTACCCCCATCAACCAATATAAAAATGCATTTATTTTTTTTTTTTGGTTTAAAAAAGTATTTTGTTTATTACCACATATCTCTCGCTTAGTTTGTGACGTTAGTTATTTCGTTAGAATATTTTTTAGCAAGTTTTTTTTCTGTTGCTTTAATAATAAATTTCAGTTATTTCTTACTACATATCAATAATCGTTTTTGTTATTATAAATTTATTTATAGTACATAAATGCATATGTTTGTGCAGGTATGTATTTATATCATTATTGTATAATATTTACGTTAATATATAAAAGTATGAATGTACGTGTGTTGTCGCAGAATTCTTGTAAATCAAAATCCATCAAAAATTTGTGTAAAACATGAAATCGGTTTGCAATTATTGGGCACCACATAGAAAGCGCAGAATATTCCGAGCCGAATATTTAAACACTTTTGGGTGTAGAGGGCGGCAGATATGCTATATTATATTCAAATTAATTTTGCGAAAACTGTCGTATAAGGCAAATTAAAATTTTTAGAAAAAACTGTTTTGGGTCTCTAAAATGTCGGCAATTTCTGCTTCATTGTTCTCAGTTTAAGCTAAAGTTAAATTTAAATTTGCATTAAAGTTAGTTTAGCCACTTTTATTTGTAATACTTCTTTTTTTGTTTGGATTTGTCTCGTTGAGAATTTCATCATAACACACACACACATACATTTACATTAATTTTTAATTATATTTTAATATTATTTTTTGTTGTATGTTTTCTGCATTTGTAAGTTTTGTAATAAATTTTATTTATTATAATAGCAATAATGTATGTATTTATATATTTGTATAGCAATATGTATGTATGTATGTATGTATGTAGTTAATATATAGAATACTAAATGCATTATTTTTAATTTATTTTTACTTTATTTTATTTCCTTAAGTATGTAATTTCATATCAGTTGAGTTAGTTGCGGATAAACATTTCAAAATTTTAACATAGTTTAAATAGGCAAAACTGGCAACAAAATTTCTATTTATTTAGTACTTAAGTTCTTATAGTTTGTAGCTTTTTTCGATCGTCGCTTTTTTACTAAGAAAAGCTTTCGTTCACACTTAAATTTAGCTAAATATAGTAACAACATTAAATAAATAAAAAAAAACTTATTTACTTAATAGTTTATTTCATTATTTTTTGTTGAATGTTTAGCAAACTAGCAACTAGTAAATAGTTTACAGAAAATATGGTAGCTATTGCCAAAGAATAGGCTGGAGCAGCTTATGGCTATGGTAGTGAACAGCGAATAACAAAAGAATATGTAGTATATACATATGTATGTGTATAGCTCTTTCGGAGTTATGTAAATAAAAAATACAAAGCTGTAAAATAGACAGCAAATTAGCTGAGAGCTTTTTAAAAAGCTTTCATGACGGTAAATTTATAATTTTAAATAAATTTTTTAGCGCGGCAGTAGATATGAGCTTCGTAAGCTGTACAAATATTTTAAAAAACAGATTGCAAAAGCCCCTCTACTTGAATCAGTGACTCTCAAAACAACGCCAACACCGCGGGCAAAGCTTTTTTAAGCTTTCTATAAGTTTTTGTAACTAGGGATCTGCAGTGTGAGAACAATTAAGCGCATGGCACAAATTAGAGGAGAAGCTCAACAGCATATCACGAAAAGAATAAGGTTCGGTGTAGATATGAATATTAACACGCAAAAGTTTCCGAAGACCGTGATCTCGTTTTTCTAAGCTCCGCATTCGTAGGGATGGTACAGATTTTGCATCTTATGTTTCAGACGAGAACTAAAGACGCATTACGCTTCCGCTTTTCAGCAAAAAAAAGCTTTTTTAAGGTTGCCGGTGCAAAGCTTTCACTGAAGCTTGACATTTGAAAAAAAAAATCCACATACACTTTTATTTAACCTTGGTGTTTAAGTTTCATAATGGTTTCACTTAGAGTGTGTCGAATAAGCTCTTACAACGACTGTAGTTTCAAACGCAACCAGCTTTTGGAAAAAAACACCGAACTGCACTTTTCTAAACGGATTAAGTTTTTCTATAAGCTTTTACTTTACAAAAAAAAGCTTTCGTGTACAATTAACAGAGCAAGAAGCTTTAAACCCGAAACAAATGAGCTGTAGCTTTGATATCTAAGCTTTCAGGTGGTCGCAGATAGTGAACAGTAAACAGAGCTAAGAGCTTAAAGCAAGCAAAATTTACCTCGGAAACGACAAAAACATATTCCGCGTGAGACGGTTTTTAAAGGTTTCTTTAGGTTTTGTATGAACACACATACAAAGTGAAAGCTTTCTCTTTCTATTACTGCTACACATGCAATAAGCTTTTCGCGCACTCATACAAACAAGTGCGCTCTTCATAAGCTCGTGCTTTAGAACACATACATTAAGTATTATAAATGAGATTTAAAAATGCTTTCTCTACATCGCTGCATTTGTTTGACAATCATCTGATATTAACCTAAAAATATTTCTCGTTTTTTTTACGATAATTTGCATTTAAAAAATTCAGTCGCCATTTGAACTGCCACATAAAAAGATTGGCGTTGGTTCTCTCCCAGAAAAAAAAATTACACTAATATTTATTAATATTAAAGTAAAAATTTGGCATGCTTTTACATATTTTATTGTTTCTATATGTATGTTTAAATATTTATGTAGCTGCGCGCAAAAATTTCTTGGTGGGTTGGCGCACTTTTTATTTTTCTAATTCAGAAGCTTCGTTATTTTTCATTCCTTATTTCCATAAACTCATTTACCTCTGCTTTCACATTATAAATTCGTCTTTCATTCTAATTTCTCCGCTCATTTACTTCATTCTTCAAAAGTCACTGATCTCACCCTCAGTTTCCGGATAGGTGCAGGTGAACGGATTCATTAGCCAATTGCACAGCCCCTTGTCTTGGCGCTTGTTCTTCTTCACCATAGTTATGCGATTGTGAGGCTCTTTCGAGAGACCTGACGTAAAGCTGCTCTCGTCGCTATCTCTCGCTGTGGCTACGCTATGGTAGCCGCTTTCGGCGCGACGTGAAATACCCGAATGTTTGGAAGTACGTGGTGTTGACGAATCGTGTCCGCTGTCGTAGGCCTCGCAGGTGGTATTCAGTGGTAGTAGTGGTAACTGTGTTTGGGAGGTCGCTGGCATGGCAGCGCCGCCAACGCCCGGTAGATGCTCCTTTTCGAGTGAGGGTCGCTTCGAGGGTGAGAGTAATGCCGATTTTTCATCTACTTCGCAGATATCCTCGTGTTCCAACACGAAAGGTTTCTCCACTTTTGGCAAATTCGGATCGGAAGCACCATCAGGATGGCGTAGGGATGCGTATTGCTCCATGCCGGCGATTTGCATAATGCCATTCAGGCTGGGCAAACTGCCTTGGCTGGGGCTGCGCGAGGGTTGTCTGAAAGAGGGAGCGTAGAGGGGAAGAAATGGATTTTCTCAGTTAGTTAATACTTAGTAGCAAGCTTTAAGTAGTTTTACATATTTGTTTTTGGTTTTGTTTTACTTAAAGGCAATTAAGAATCGATTAGAGAATGGAATGCGGAGAAAAGACATAAACGGACATGAAAATTCTCGTTATGCGGAGCTGAACTAAAAACTTTGCCTAAAGGTGGCAACCCTTAAAATATATTTCGTTAGAATTTTTGCTCAAAAGTGCAAGATTCATATTTGGTTTCTACTAACTTTTAGAATTCTAAATTTTCTTTGCTTTTGTTAAAATTACGCTCTTTGAAAAGTTGTAAAATATTAAATTTATTTGGATATATTTAACACTAATGCAAATTAATTGGTATTTATCGTTTTTTTTTTTTAATTCGGGTGGCCTAGGTGGCCTTGCCCAAAAAAAATACATATATTTACAGATTTATTTTACGTGTTTCTTTCGACATTCAAATGCTAATATCTATTTATTTAATTTGAGTGATATATTTAGTTTTACTTTTATTAGACAGTTGGCAACTCTATTTAGAACAATTTCCGAAATATTTGCTGCACCAAATACCACTTCTTCGGTGTGCAAATTGTAATATTTTATGTAAAAATAGTTTTGACAGCTGGCAACTCTATCTTAAAATTTTATCAAATACATGTTTACAAATACATGTTTCGAAATGTCTGTTTTTAAGGAAAAAAAATGGTAGCTTCTGTTTACTTCTAAAGTACTATATTTACAAAAGCCTTTCGTTTGATACACCGATTGTAAAATTAAATTTTTTTGAAATTTTTACCATGTGGAAACTCTATTTAAAACTATTTCTAAACTTAGTCGCTCCTGATTACTATTTGCTTGATGTTTCCATAAATTCGATTTTATTTGACTCGTCTCAATTTTTTATGCAGGTGGCAACCCTGCTTCCGTTAAATTTTTTCCATTTTACTAAGTATGTACTCACCTCGGACTTGGTGGCCTGTATGGTGGCTCACTGCACACGCTACCCGGACCCGTATTGAAGCGATAGGCGGGTTCACTATAGACGCTGCCCACATCGCAGCCGCTGCGGAAGACGGGCGTCACTTCGGCCATGGCCAGCTGTGAGGTGAAGATCTCACGTAGACGCGCTAATTGATCGAATTGGTTTCTAAACGGAGGGAAAAAATCACAAACATTCTAAACGGGAAGGCTTTTCTCTAGCTTACCTCGTTCTTTCACCCATCGCACAATCGCTAAACGCATCGCCGGCCATATTGAAGCTCGACACAATGGACATGTTGTCAACGTGACTCAGTGCCGCCAAAGGATGTTCGCTAAAAAGAAACGACAAAGAAAAATAAGCAGAAGAAAAATATTATTTTTTGATACGACTATAACAGCTAGATTTCATTCGCTATACTATTTCCGCTACTCACCCGCCCATTGTGCGCGCTATCTCCTCCTCTGTCACCTGCAGTCCACAATCGGACATGCCCATGCTGTGTTGGGAGTAATGATGCGATGACTGCCTCGAGGGCGCACTATGTTGCAGTTCCTCTTGTCGTCGCAATTCCTGTTGTTGTTGCTCACGTTGTTGCTGCTGGTAGAGTGATTCGCGCGAAACATGTCGCGACAGTATGCGATGCAGACTTTCGTGCGAAATTTCACGCGAACCCAACGGCTCGATGAGCGGCAACGCTGGCGGCACCTCTGACGGTCCGCTGTCCTGGTCTTCATCACAGTCTGCTTGCCGATCGCTTTGGTGTCCACTCGCACTCGCACCCACGCCAACGCCATGCTCCGACATCGTTGCCGCCGAGTTGCCACCTCCGACGAGTAGCTGCTGTGAAATGATGCCATAACCGGTGTGTGAATGCGTCGATTGTAAATCAGTCTCATCTTTTGTTGTCGTCTGCTGGGTGAGTCCGAGCGAGCCTGTGGCGCTGGACTGTCGTTGATGATACGCTGGCTGGGAGCCACGTATCTCCGCGGGCGCCGAGGCATTCGTTGTGCTCACAGCTGTGGAAAGACCCATGGCAATGGCATGTGCCAGCTCCGCTTCGCTGGCGCATAGCATGAATTGCTGCTGTTCGAGGGGTAGCGAATGTTGTTGCTGCAACGTTGGATGTTGCACAGCATGTTGTTGGTGTTGCAATTGTCTGGTGCTCGTCGCATACAAATCCTCTGGTGCATCGAGCGACTTCTGCTTCAGCTGTGACATGTGGAAGGTGATGTTGCGCAGATGCTGCGCTTGTTGGTCGCGATGTGCGGCATTGCCGGCGCCGTGTGTGGGCGAAGACGCTGCCGATGTGGTTTGGAAGACTTGCGAAGTCTGATTCTCTACCCATTGCCGTATCATGGACTTCTTATGCGAGTCCATGAAGCCGTAGCCTTGCACCTGCGAGGGTGCTGTAGGCAGATTGCCGGCGGTCAGTGAACGTGTCGACTGCGACTTGGGGCCATCAATCCATGTCTCGCACTGTTTCACATGATTCACTTCGCGCAGCAGATGACGCGCCTCAGCTACCTTGGCGCGCGACACACGCGGTCCATCAATCCACTGCTCTTCGCTTATCTTGCGCATCGGACTGCCGGGGCAGTCTAGAGAGTCGCCAGCGGCGGCGGCGGACACAACATTGGCGCCGACGCCTGGACGCCGCAGCGGTGAGCCTTTAGGTGATGGCACATTCGAGCCCTTCGAGCACATCATGCCCGCCATGCCGGAATGGCGCAAACTGCCCGCAACTATTTTGGGTGAGGAGGCTGAGTGCGAAAGTGATTTCACGCTGTGAACGGGTGAGAAGAACTGTTGCTGCTGCTGTTGGTCGGTATTGGCCGCAGTCGCTTGAGGCTGTTGTTGTTGTTGCACATGTTGGGCTGGCGTTGGACTATTGACGTGGCCGCGTTTCAGGCTGCCTGCGCGACTAGACGCATTGATGGTTGGACTTTGTGGCACTGCTATGAGACAATGAGTAAAGGAAGGAAAATGGGTGAAATACAGAAAAAGTCATAAGACGAATATAAAAGAGTGAAGTGAAATTAAATGGGTGACCACAGCTCTAACTGCGCGCTTACCTTTTTGTGCTGCTGACTTCTTCAGTGTGCTGGCTGCACTACTTTTCGCCGGCGACTGTTGCTGCTTTTCCAGGCCGCTACCCTTCAGCGCCTTGCTCATCACACAACGATTGTCGCCACTACTCAGCGAGGGCAAATACACTGGCGGATGTTCGCCATCCGTCGCATCGTCACTCGGTCCCATGTAAATGACGGTGGCTGCAGACAGCTCCGAGCTGGAAGGATCTGCACCCGAACCAGCCGATGAGCCGGTCGACTGATGTCCTAAGTGCGCAAAAAAAGTGCAAATATTCAGAAATTCGTGGAGAGTTTGAAATAGCAAACGAAAAAAAGTTAGCTAAGCTAGTGCAAATGCTGTTACAGTATTCCCGCTTAATTGACCCCGGTTAATTAATTTTGGACAATTTTTTTTTCAAATTTGTGGAATTTGAAGAAAACTTGTTTCGTGACTGTTTTTGAGGTTACGAACTGTAAGTTTTTATCAGATATTATAAATTCAAAATGGCCTACTCAATATCACTTGCAAAAAAATTACCACATCCCTTTAAAATACGCTCCTTAGATGTTTTTGAGATTGAAGATTACGAAAACGATATCAGACTTAAAAAATTCAAAATGGCCTACACAGTATGGATTCCGAAAATTTATTTAAACCACAGAGATCATTATTAAAAAAAAATAATAAATGTTGTATTGCAGAATGTGGGTGTCACCGAAAAATAGAATAAGACGACCCTTAGGTTCCACAAAAAAAAAAAAAAATTCGAAATTACCTTTCAAAAATTCTTTAGACTCGGGGTTGTACGGCAAACCTTTTTTTTGTTGCTTATAAGTTGGTACGGTCTGGTGTACTGCTTCATCAAAAAACCCATAGCCCTACCTTTCAAGTGCAATACCTCTAGCAGGGAGACACATTTCCCCTTAAATATAGGAATTACTAAGGCTAACACTGCTGACACAAAAGTGCGTCTGGGTCGATACTTTAACTCCAGTGATTTGCGCATTTATGTATTTCCACAAGCCACTGGTTGGTCACTCTTCAAAAGTGATGCAATACGCAAAGTACTCACCTCCATTAACGCCCGCCGCCGCCATTCCTCCTACACCCGTTTTGTCACTTGGCATGGGAAAACGATGTTTACGTCGCCGCATTCGATGTATGCGTGAGGCCAGTTGTATCGTCGTCAGGGCATCCGTATGCGACTAAATATACAAACGAAGCGTACAAGAAGAAAAGAGCAAATGCATAAAGGAACAATAACAACAACCACATTAGCAAAAAAATTTAAATTGAAAGTCATTTGTCATTCTCATTGTGACACAAGACACAATGCCGGCCATCAGACGAGTGCGATTTTATGAATGTGCAATAAATTGACCAACCACTCAGTCAAGCGTTGCCGTCGATATGTTTGCAAGTATGTAAATATGTGTGCACATCGTCATTGAAAGCCATTATGGAATTGTTGTCCAATTAAGCCGAGAAACAACAATGACTATTGTGAATGTTGAGCTGAAGTGCAGCTCGAGAATACCGCTTAAGAGCATGGCAATTACCCAGCCACGAGCCCCTTATTACACATATTCACACTCGCAATGACATACATCTTCAACACGACTCCCGTTAACTCACCTGCGTGTGCATTACGTGCGCCATTATGGCGACATGACACGTCAACGGCGCCAGACAATCTTTCAACAGCGGCGTCAATGGATGATCCTTGTTCGGCGGATGGCGTTGTCCACTCAATATGGCCAGTAGTATGTTGCCAATGCCGGAGAGTGGCAGTCCACCATTGCGGTTGGCACAGCCGCCCAAATCGATGAGATGTAAACGACTTCGTCCTCCAGCCACTGCGCGAATTGTGTGCATTCGAATGAAAATAAGTGCATTAAAATTTTAGCATGAAATGTCTACAGTGTGTGTGTGTGTGTGAGTCTGCATTGGCGTTGCATTATTGGAATTCCAATTACTTTATCGTGAGTTTATTGAGCAGTTTTGTGTCCGAATAAATACTCACCTCCTCCTTTGCGCGATAAGCTGTACTGGTAGACGTGTAGTGTGAAAATCATGGCTGGCTCAAGTCCACCTTGTGGCCGTCCTGCGAGTGCAGCGTCTAGGAACAATGCGGCACGTTCGGCGGTGGGGGCACGCAGTTCGGTGGGTCCGCCAAGGAAGTCATCACGCAAGTACACGCCTGGCGAGTCATCGGATTCTGTTGTGTAAGTATGTGAGGGTATAAGGAGAAGAAGAAAGAAAAAAAACGAGAATAAAGTCAACGAATTATGGAATAGTGGCATTAAAAAGAGGAAAGGTTTAAAGGCTAGTAAATAAATAAAGAAATTTGTGGAATGCAAATGGAAAACTCTATTACTCATCTGCAAAACCCTGACTTTCAGGTAATGGTAAACAGCGTAAAACCGGTAACAAGTACTCTGATCAATGTGACTCATATATACATAGGCTAAACGAAAGAGTATGCAACAGGATTCAAAGAAACTGCAGCGATTTTCACCGAAGCTAAAACCAATATGGAAGCCACTTAGTGGATCAAAGCTGCCACCCTTCCAGAATGGTTTATCTTTACATATGTAGCTGCTATTAAGCCTCCAAATTCTCATGGAGCAACGTGCAAAGTTGACTGCATTGCCGACGAGCTGGATAGGAAAGGGACGGAAAGGCTCGTGGCCAATTGTCTTCAAGACTAGAGCATACTCATGCCCTCCTAAAATACAGATTAAAGACTGAACTCATCAGGGGCATAAATACCCGGTGGTCCATGGAACAAACCTGTCAAACAAATTCGGAAAAAAGTTGGCATAAAAGCATCTAAAACTCTCATTCGGTTCGACCGCTCCACACAGCATTATTGGGTTCATTATGATTTAATATAGCTTGTCGACTAGTTAAGGAGAAAGATAGAATCTTCTTGCCAATATCGCTTCTTCTGCAGCGCAAGGAACAATTTATAGCTCCCCTTCTAAGAAGTGATCACAATATTTGAATTCCCGGTGACCTTTTATCCCACTATCAGCAAGTAATGTGAACAAGTACCGAGTTTCAGATTTGAAACTTATTTTTTTTCAATGAATCTTCTCTGCATGTACTGGTAAAAAAGCTTAGATGTTGCATACTTTGACGATGTCCTTTAACTCTAAAAACTTAAGTTTGAAACAACCCTAATGTCATTGCAAGCCAAAATGACAGCAGTAGACTTAACATCTCACCTTCCAATTTAAAACTTTAAACAACTCCACCAATCTTACTCACCAGTCGCATGCGCCGCCAACAAGTCCTTCGAGCTGGAGTCCGGTTTCGTGGCGCTGACACCGAGCGCACTGACGCGCACCGAAAACCGCGCGCCACTCTTCTGGCGTCGCTCATTAATACCCTTGTACAGCCAAGAAATGGCGCAAGGTATAGCACCTAATTCGGTTGGCGGATTCACGCCACCCAACATCGTTTTCGGTTGACCTGCGAAATAAAAAAAAAAAATGTAAAAAACGAAAGAAAAACGAAACGAAAGCGTTAAAGACAATGCAGAGCCATATGGCGCTAGGAAAAGTAAGAAAAATGTGCGATAAGCATGCGGAGATTACGATTAATGTAAAATTTATTGCACATTTCCCATAGGAAATACATAAAAAAGAAAAGAAAAGAGTGTGATAAGAAAAGNCATTTCCCATAGGAAATACATAAAAAAGAAAAGAAAAGAGTGTGATAAGACAACAAAAAAAACGAAACTTACCGGAATTCGGATAACCAATCGTTAGTAGACAACCGTCGGAACCTTCCAGCACGGCGGGTATCACCTCAGACAAGGCAGACGCACAGATATCGGACTGCGAGCGCAACAAAAAATGGGAGAGACACAGTGAAAAGGTGAAGGAAAAGTTTTAAATAATGACTTCGAAAGCAAACTTGCCGCGCGAACGCTGATAAATTGTAACTTTAAGAAGCTTTCGCATTGATAAGCGCCCACTCCACTCCACTCCACTCCACTCACCTGTTGATCCTCTGCCGTGAAGAGGCTATCGAAAGCGAACATTTTCGGCGCCGCCACCATGGGACCACGCTCCTGCGAAGTGGATGCGGCCACTGCGCTCGCCGCCGACGGATCTGTCAGCGTCACTTGACGTTTCTTCTTATCGACCGCCATGAAATGCGGATGTTCCGTGTCGTTGTGCGTTGTGTCCGAGACACGCAACATTACCTTAACCTGTAAAAGTGGGAGTAGGGAAACAAATATTTCTTTTTTTTTTACGTAGAATAACCAAAAAAAAACAACGGCAAAGTAAATCACGTGTGCAACCAACAGTTGCGGTAGTTAATTTACCGCATATGACTAATTCGCACAACTACTTAAAAGGGAAGTACTTTATTCATTTCACTTATGATTTGCAGCTGGTCAAGTGCATAGAGTAGTAGCGCTGATTGTGATCTTAATTGCTGCGGATTCCAATTTAAATTAGATTTATGCTCGACTCCGGGCAAAGGGAAATCCACTGCCACGACAATCGCTTAAAATGTCTAGCAATTTTGTTGACAGACCAAGATTATTAGCGGTAAATTGTAGACGGTAATTGGATCGCGTTTTTATGGCACACGTCATGCAATACTTAACTTTGTAATTCTATACGAGTTGGTACTTTATATACATACATAAAACATATCCATTTACATAGCATACATGAGCCACCAACTTTTCTCGTTAGAGAGTGGTTGTGTATTGTAAAATATAATTTTGTTCTACTCACCTTGCCGATGCCGTAGTTTTCCTTGTTCGCAAGCCTTCGCGCCAGCCCTGGTGGCATAGGTGGTGGCGCTCGCTGTAGCGCTCCACAAAATCCACCATTTCGTGCGCTGGCATTTGGCAGTTCGGCGGTGCGACTTTTGCTGGAATTGTGTGTTTGTGCAAGTTTTTGTGCGGCTCTGTAAAAGCAAAAGGATGTAGAAACTTGTTGTAGTAAATCATTTTAATTTTTTTATGCATTAAAAATTCTAAATTCTGCAAAGAATTATTTCGCAGATATCGCTCGACAAATCTCTTTTGCGATTAGGAAGCGATAATAGCAAAGAGGTCAAAGAAATTTACAAATTTAACCTGGTCCAGCATCTAGCATTACATCGCTCCAGATTAATCTAGACCAGCTAAAAGACATTTTTAAATTTTTAAATGGAAAGTAAAGAACAAATAGTGGCACAGAGTTTTTGAAATTTTAATCAGAATCAGCTCCTGTTGTATAAGTTAATTTGCGTATAACTTTAGAATTATTGATTTTTATTATTTCGAAGAAGAAATAGGCGGTTTGTTTCAGATTTTTCTTAAATGTTTTCTACGAATTTTTTAAAAATTTTCTGATTTTTCTCTATTTTTTAGAGATTTCCCGCGATTTTTTAGGACTATTCGAAATTTTTCAGTGCTTATTTGACTTTTGGACCTGTTTTAGTCTCATATATATATATATTTTCGCATGTCTTAAATATGTTGTGTTCGGATTTCTATCAGCCCAATTCAAAATACTCCTAGGGAGTTTGTTCTCCAGGAATTTGTTTATCCCAAAAAAGAAATCCTCCAACAATTAACTCCCAGGGAGTATCATTTTCCCCGAAAATTTGTGAGGAGGAAATTCGAGCTTCGAGAGAGTTTTCTTGACAATAAAAAAATCCTCAAGGAATTTTTATTCATGATAGTAGGAAAGGGAAAAGAGAAAAACTCCCGGGGAGTTTCTGTTCAGAATCGGTCTTTATATTATCAAGGCAAAAGCAATCAATAGTTGCTTTTTTATAAAATACATACTCAAGGCTATTTTAAGCCTAACAGAGGTATATAATAGTCACAGTAGACAAAATAAGAGAATACGAAGGACCAGGAAGCAGTCTTAGCGCAAAAAAATGCCAATTAATTTATGAAGTTTAATTTGATTTGTCAAATACTTGGCAACCTTTCCAAATATAGTGCAGAAATAAAGCCTTTCCACGCCCATTTCGATTGATACCCATATTTTTATTTAATTTGAATTTAACTTTTTAAACCAGTGGCAACTCTCTACAGATTCTTCGAAAACCACTATTCGTTTGACACACTAATTTTAATATTTCTTATAACTGTGCATAATTTATTTTAATTCGACAACGTGGCAACGCTCTTCAAAATATTTCGAAAGTAAAACTTTTAAACTAATTCCGTCTGAATCCAAATTGTGATATGTGTACATCTCAACAACCTTATTGCCTTGGTTTTAATTTATTTAGATTTTTTAAACGGGTGGCAACCCTCCTTAATGCAGTTAAGAAATAAAACCTTTTCAAAAACATTTCGTTCGATACACATATTGTAATGATAAATTTAGCTTATTAAATACTTTTCGGCATAATCTTAATCTCAATCTCGATCTTAGTCTTACAGCCAGTTTCACCAAATTATTTAAGTGAAAATTTTCGAATTTTCGGTTTCACCAATCAATTTTAATTTTGATTTAAGTGACCTATGCTCTGCACTTAAATAAAAGTTAAATCAGAACAACCACACTCAGAGGTGTTACACGTTTAATCACCTGATCATTGTGTATATGCTGCTTACTTGTATACCAGCCCTGCTTTTACAACACAGCGTGTCAAAGCTTTCAAAAGCTCTCAGTACAAATGAAAGCGAAAGCTAGTCCTAGTCTGTTTTACAACCACTTTTTACTCACTTAAATAAATAGTTTATTGAAACTGAAAATTATTTAAATGAGAATTAAATACAAAATTAAATTAAAGTTAATTTCCACTTAAATAGTTTGGTGAAACTGGCTGTTAGTCATAATTTTAGTGTCGCTATTTCGTTACATCGATGTTTGAATTTTACTCCAAGAAGAGGTTGAGCAGAAATGGTTAGAAAATTAAGTCGAAAAGGAGTAGGAGTAGCCGAATTTGGCGGGAATCATGGTCTGACCCCGAGTCTGGAGTTAGATTTTAATGTACAGTGGCGAAAATATAAGTCGGGCAGAGACATTTTAGCATTATTTGACTATTTCCCTTTCGTTTATTTAATGGTTACTATTTTTTTATGCAATTGTAGCTCGTTATCTAACAAAACTAATGAAAGTCAAAATTATGAGATTTTTAATTAGATTTCTTAGAAATATTCTTAGTATGCAGACTTAACGCTGATCTTTGGAATTTTTTTTGTGAGAGGTGTTGCTTATGTTGCGCAAATAAAAAATGGTCAAAAATCAACGGTAGGTCCTAGCTAATTCAAACTTGCACTGTATCATACCAAAACTTAATTGGCTTCAAAACTGTATACACAAAAAAATTCGGTTAACAAGTTTTAAGTTTTATTGAACATTTGTTAAAGTTCGTCGAATTTTCATGAAGGTTCTACAAAGATTGTAAATTTGTTTTACAATTTTTTGAGATAGCAAGCTACATATATTTTCATTAAAAAATATTAAAAATTTTTTTAACAAAGAAAAATAGTTAAAACCTACAAAAATGTCTCTGGCCTATTTTGATTCTTGGCATCGTATAAATTGGTGGTAAGAAGAAAATTAATATTCTGATTAAGTTAAGGAAATACAAACTTTATTCTATAGTTCCGATTTTATATTGCATGGTTGGTATGGGGTTATCACCCGTGCTCCTGGCATCCATTTTCTAAATACATAACTAATTTGCCTGCTTGAGTAAGGCCAGAAAACTTAAAGTAAGTGTGTGTGTTTCATAAATACCCCAATGTATTTTCTCAGCCAGTTAGTTTCAAGCATGTCGGGCAGCTGTTGGTTACGAATGAAATGATCAAAACCATACAAATAATATTTTCAAAAGAAAATATCAAAAAAATCACGAAATGCAATTATAATTATCCAACGTAATAAGTATATTAGAGGCGATGTTAATGTCATTAATTAACACATACCACTAGTACACGGATGAGAGAAGGAGCATAGAAATGTTATAGTAGTTATGTATGTATCTACATTGGGGTGGTCCAAAAATGCATGTTAAAAAATAAAGTGCGAATTTGAATGCTCTTACCCCCTAGGATTGGGAAATAAAAATAATAATTAGAGGCCACTCAAAGCGCTCAAAGTTTTCCATAGATTTTATTTATATGGGGGAAAAACTAATTTTTGTAGTAATATATAAAATCAATATTTTTTGATCAGAAAACTTTGTTTCTCTTCCAAAATAGTACCCAATTTTCTATTTTATTACCAGCAATTTGTGTTGGTCCCCCTTTGAATTTTTTGGGGGTTTAGGGCTGCTCTAAAATATAGCTAATACTAAAAACTGGTTTAATAAACAATTGGGTATTACTATTGAAAGTCTCATGAAGATAAACAAGGTTTTCCGATCGAAAAATATTTATTTTCAAGAAGAATAAAACATTTCTATGAAAAATTGTTTTTTCCCATCTAAAATACATGGAAAACTTTGGGCGCTTTGAGCGAACTCTAAACATTTTTTTATTTCAAAATTAAAAAAAAATCGACTATACTTTTTTCGGTATAGAACAATCCTAGGGGGTAGGAGCATTAAAATTCCGACTTTATTCTTTTTTTGCGACCACCCTAATCTACAAACGTACCTATGTATGCATTTTATTGAGTGAGTATTATCCAAGAAATAATATAATAAAAACCGTAAACTGGTAAGTATGAAAGTGGTAAGGGGTATCCTATGGGTATACAATAAATACATGTACCGAGTAAGATTCATAACACACCTGAGACACATGTTCTCAAAGAGAGTATTCATATACATGTGTACATATATATACATGTACATGCTGCTTGATTTAAAATTTGCCTTACTGATTTAAGTTTTTCGAATTTTCACATCGACACTGTTTACAATGGGGTTTTCTTACTGGTCTTATTAGTAAAAAAAAAATCGGGGATTTATCGCAAAACTTCACATCTGAACAATTCGATGTAAGGGAGTAAGTGGATTAAAGTGATATAGATATAGAGATTGCCAAACGCTCGCTGAGCTAGGCATAAAGCTTATTATGGTAGCAATGGCATATTGGCTACCAGACTGCCTGGTTCAGAGCCAGGTATTACGATTTTTGTAAAAGTTATAACGACCTTCGCCATAAAGAAGGCCGCTTGTCTTAAACAAAATAGTAAGTCAAGGGAAGTTATATATTCGTTGACAGCCTAGCGGAATTGAATGCATTTTTATCTAAATAATGAAAGTGCCTAGCATTACTGAGTCACTTCAATGCTTCTTAGACATAGCATCATCGAAAGAGCCGATGAGATGGCTGCACACCGTTCGGTAATGCAGATCAGCTAGGCAGATACTTAACTTCCTACAACCGAAAATTCGTGATTCGCAGAGAAAAATTTACGAGTCCACAACAGAGGTCACAAATGTTCTATGGAGCAATCGAAACGACTGTAAAATCTAATGGCCTTAATGACACGAAACTTAACAAGAAACGGGCTTTTAACGTTAAACCAATTCGAAGAAAGAATTTGGTGTGGCGTCATCACAGTACAATGCAAAAGTTGTAACCATCGCTGGGGGATATGCCTCATGCTGGCGCTACGAGTGGGCAAATTTGCTTCCGGCTGAAAGTATGATACCTTCCTAAATGCATTGCGAACGTAAATAAACATCGTTTTTACCACAAAAAAAACACAAAAAAACAGCCGATTTAAGTTTCGATTCCCAGTATCGAATTTGGCCGTCTTTTTTACTCACTTCTTTTTCCCTTTTTAGAAGATCAATTTTCCAACTTCAAAGCGCATAAGACAAGTATTATCAAGAGAGGCTGCTAACCATCAAGCGATACGGCTAAACGCACAAAGCACTCAAAGAAAAAAAGGAGGTACCAACGGAAAAAATATCTCAAACGCCAAAGCTAAGAATAGCGAATTTACGAACAATGCAACACCAAAAATTCCCTGCTGCCGCACAAGCACTCACTCGCCATT